AGGTAACACTTTATAATACTGTTCCGTAGTTAACAGGTAAATATGCAGGAAGTAAGCAGCAACAAAGGAGTAGCGCTTCATTAACACCTAAATTGGTACTATTAACTACTAAGGAGTTATGCTTAATTACTCAATAGGTAATAGTGAACTAATTATTATAGTAGTTCTCTATTACTTCATTAGGAACTATTGAGTATTGCTGGTCTCATTGGGAATTATGTACTAGCTATGGATTATTTCTAATAACTACTAGTTACCTATCTTTTAGATGTGCATGTTTTGTTTCCAAATGCTGGTGTAATTTAGATGGTTTCAGTTGACTGGCACGGGCCACATCCTGGGACACCGTTCCTCACATCTTTGCTCTTGATTCATTCCCCACTCCAGCTTACAATCACATTTGAAGTTTCCAACTGTATTGTTGCATATTCGGTTGAGACCACAAGATGGCTTACTTCCTTTGCATTCCTCAATGTCCGCACAACTACCAACTCCAATTCCCATGAGGCCTGCAGAGCAGTGACATTGTTCTTGTTCAAGGGAAGTCTTTCAACACGTGGAATTTCCATGGCATGTCATGTTGTAGTCCTTGTACTGAAGGTACACTGTAAAAAAATATTTTTTGTGATTGTAAATAAAGATAGTATAATTTAAGTACATTTTAGGTTTTGATGTAATTCATTGCACTTGAATACATAGTATTCAAATAGAGTAAACTCAAATGGAAATCCCCAAGCATTATTTACTTTGTATTTTGTCATTTAATTAACTAATGCAAAAATGGCAAACTCAAGTAAAGCTTACTCCACGAAGCCAGGCAATCTATGTGCATGCTCCCTTGGGTCAGAAGTGGCGCGCAGAAGCAAAGAAAACCAACGGATCTTTTCTCGAAGAAGGTTTATACACGGTAAGTTATGAAATATTTGTTTATTGGTCAATTTAGTTACGGTTGCATTAAAGTATAGGGCTATTAAGCTGTCCTGGTGGTTAAAGATTTAACCATAGACTGTAAATTAACGCATTGATAGAGTTGACTTTGCTAAACAACCAATTTGCACAAACATAAGTTATTAGCAAATAGCATCTGTGTCGAAAACAATTGTGTTGTATTTTACATGTAATCTATGGAGAACTTTAACCCCCTGGGGCCTGAGGCCTCTTTTCCACTTTCGGGGTGGTCTGTCATGCCTTGACATTTTAAAATATTTCACCTATCTAAAAAACATTTATCCCAAAGTGTTACATTTGCTTTTATTCAGCACAAACTCAGCACCAATAATCTGAGACCTCTTAGAA